CAAAAAAGCTTATTGTGTTGTGTTCTCTCTCCTCTAGTTTTTCACTCGCCCACTACCAACAATGTACATGTCTCAATATATATACTCACATCTTGACCTAAAGCCCTTGGATGCTCTCCACCAACCTTCTTGAATGCAATAAATGAACTCACCAATATTTCTTTGTCTATTCGAACAAGCATGCTCTTTGTTTTTGTCTTATATGGTCAAAAGCAAAACATCTTGACTTGTGGTCCTGTATTCATGTGGTCCTTCCTTGAGACATGCAAACTTCTGCTCCACGCTTATACTTGTTTTGTCTTAATCTTGATTTGCTAAACTTAACATGAGCACAAGCAGATTAGGTCGACTTGTCGGAACGAGTGTTGCAATTTGGTTACCAGACATCGATTCAGCTTCATAAAAACTCATGGAGGAGCAAATCCGAAGTGTAGAGCCGAGTTTAGTGAAATAGGTTTCGCCGGCGACGGAAGGTGAAAAGGTTCTTCGGGCGAGCTTTTGAGAGATCCGAGAAAAAGGAGCTTTGTGAAGCTCAAAAGGATGGATGGTCGGCGAGGGAGCTGCAGAGGCGGAGGCTCATTTTCTGCGGCTGTCTTGGTCATCATGCCTGAGAGACTCTCTAGGGCGAACTACACAGCGAATGTAGTTAAAACGTTGAATTACGTGGTATGCGAGAGATCAAATCTTTTAGATTTAAGAACATTTTCCATACTCCAAATCGCATCAACTAAAGTGGGACCATCTGAGCAAGTATTGTGTGTGTATCTACATGGTGTGATCACACTTGAAATTGATCACTTTGGTTCTAGGTAGCATGGGGACGGCATTTGGTACAACGTTCCCGTACCGGAGACGTTTTGGGGACGGGATTGGTGTGGAAACGGCATAGAAACGTCCCGTAGACGTCTAGGACAGGTTAGGAATGGCGACGATTAATGGGGACGTTTCTGAAATATTTTATGCTAAAAAAAAGTCTTTATGTCAATTAAAACCTCATTTTGTGTATAGTAATCCGAAAATTAGTGGTCGATTTGGGCTATTATGGTTAAGATGTGTGATAAAATGAAGAAGAAAATCAAAGATTTGCGAAAAAATCAAAAAAAAAAATTGCAGGAGGGTCGGCGGTAAGGGTTTTTTTGGGGGGGAAGAAGATGACCACGGTAAATTATATTTATGCCCCTCGAACCACAGATGGATCCTACTGAAATCACGCTCACTACCATTATGCTACTAGAACTTTTAAAGTATATGGTAGCCG